TGTGTGTGTGTCTGTGTGTGTGTCTGTCTGTCTGTGTGTGTGTGTGTGTCTGTGTGTGTGTGTGTCTGTGTGTGTGTGTGTCAGTGTGTGTGTGTGTGTGTGTGTGTGTGTGTGTTTTAAGATAGGGGGTCCCTGGAGCTTGCTATGCAGTGGAAGCTGCCAGTGTCAAACTTGAGATCCTTGTGCCTTAGCCTCATGGGTGGTAGGGTTACAAGTATGTACTGTCATACTCAGTTAGAGCAAGATTAAGGCATCAGGTGGTGGTGGTGCATGCCTTACTCGAAGGACTCTGGAGGCAGAGGCAGTGGATCTTTGAGTTCAAGGCCAGCCTGGTCTACAGATTGAGTTCCAGGACATGCAGGGCTACACAGAGAAACCCTGTCTCGAGAAAAGAAAAACAAAACAAAAAAAGAGTAAAATTAAGATGCGTGTTTATGTCAAGACTGACATTTACCATTTACTCCCCAGAACTGGCATGGTAGAGAGAACTGACTCCTGAAAGCTGCCCTCTGCGCACACACACACACACACACACACACACACACACACACACACTAAATAAATTATACATGTAAATGAATAAATAAATAATACATGTAAAAAGAAATAAGGGCAAGGTGTTTACTGTTTTATTACAGTACTTACCAATTACTGATTTTATGGACATGAGTAGTTATTTGAAAGAAAAAATGAAACTAATTTTCATTTTTAGTCTTTCTGTGTCAGTATGGCTCTCGGAAGGCATTGAGTTACCAATTTTCCTTGGTCTGTAAACACCTTAAATACATGAACACATTGAGATTATCAGTGTCTAACATAGCAAGAGTAGAATTTTTACGAAGCAGTTTTATTGCCAAGCCTCCATTACTTATAGAGTAACATCCCTTGATCTCTGTAACACTGGTGCCATTTCTGAATCTCACTTCTTACTACAGAGTCTTTACATTGAACTCTGCCTGGTCTGTGTAGAGTAATTACTCTGTCTTTGTTTTAAATCAGGGTTCTACTCTGTAGCCCAGCTGGGTCTCAGACTCACAGTGACTTTCCTGGGTTTGCCTGTCAGGTACTGAGAATATTGGCATGAGCTACCACACCTACCTCAGCTCTTAGAAAGAAAAACTGTCCACACAAGATCATAAGTACATGCCTTCTGTTTTCTTTTGTTTTGTTTTGTTTTTGTTCAGCTTTTGGTTTTTCAAGGTTTTTGGTTTTTGGTTTTTCTCTGTGTAGCCCTGGCTGTGCTGGAACTCACTCTGTAGACCAGGCTGGCCTCAGACTCAGAGATCTGCCTGCCTCTGCTTCCCGAGTGCTGGGATTAAAGTTATGCACCACCATTATTACCATTACCATAAGTACATTCTTATATACAACCATTCCTTGTTTGCTTATTTATAATACAGACTACTGGTTGAGACTGTTTAGAGTCAATCTTGGGTCTACCATAGCAGTATCTTAGGCCAATGCTGAACTAGCAGTAACCCTCTATGAATATGTTTTTTTAAATGATAAATTACTAAGATGTAGTCCTTTTTTCTTTTTAAAGCAAGCTCCGAAGATCCCCTTGTCTCTGCCTCCCAAAGGTCGGTTTACAGCATTATATGGGTTCTGGGGATTTGAACTCAGGTCATCGTGCTTGCATAGCACTGAACCACTTCTCCAGCCCTAGTTGTTCCTTTAAAATCCTATTTCTGGGCTGGCAACATGGCTGAGGAGATAAGAGGTTATGGTTGGCAAACCTGATGACCTGATTTTGATCCCAAGGTTCCACATGGTAGAATGAGAGAACTCAGGTTGTCCTCTGGTCTCCACACAACTCCACCCTACAACACACACATACGCTTTTTCTTCTACTTCTGTGATGACCTAAGTTCAATCCATAGAACCCATGTGAAGATGGAAGGAGAGAACTCACTTCACAACGTGTCCTCTGACCTTCACAAAGCATTATTTCATTCACATATACACACATCATAAGCATACATCCCTTTCACAATAGCAAGTATATAAAATTATAAAAAATCTTACCTGTGGAATAGAGGAGGACCCAGTGGGTAAGTGTTTGCCAACCAAGTATAAGGACCTGAATTCAGATCCCCAGAGTCCATGTAAATGCTGGGTAATCATGAGGCCTACCTGTAATTCTGCCCCCTAAGGGACACAGAGCAAGTGTGCTAGCAAGATTAGCTATATCAAGAGCTCTGGGTTTGATTGAGAGACCCTGTCTCAATAGATACAGTGGAAGAGCACTGGAGCATGATCTCTGACATCAACCTCCAGCCTCTATATGTACACGTGTCCATGTGCACCCATGCATGTGACTATGTATATACAAAATGCAACTATAATACAACACCACATACACATGAAAAATATAAAGAAGAAAAAAAAGTCTTATTTGTAAAATGTTTCGAAGCGAAAATGACTTTGTTTAGTCATTCCTTTCTGTTTTCCATTTCATAGATTGTGGATATCAGTGATATGTTCAGAAACACAGAGATCAGATTTCTTCAGGATGCACTGGCGCACCCTCAGGGAACTGTCAAAGCAATATGTGTTCATGAAGGAGCAGTAAGTGAAGCACCGTTCTGTGTTTTCTCTAGAATATGTATTTTGGAAGGAAATATATTTAATACTGGCACATTAACACTCAATCTGTTTCAGTCAAGCATGTTGGTACACACCTATGGCCACAGCACTTGAGAGACAGAGGCAGGTAAATTTGTGTGAATTCCAGGCCAGTCTGGTTTACAAGGTGAGTTCTAGGCCAGCCAGAGTTACATAGTGAGACACTGTCTCCAAAAAAAAAAAAAGAAAGAAAGAAAGAAAAAAAAAAAAAGAAAACCAGTGGTTTTTGTAGAAAGTCTTATTAGTGTCTCTAAGATTATTATATAAATAATGATAAAATACTGTGGGTTTTTAATCTATTTCTATTTATTAGACAGAATCACTCTCATGTAGCCTGGGCTGACCTTGAACTTACAGTCCTCCTGACTTAACCTCCCAAGTGTTGAGATTATAAGTGTGTGACAACAACCTAGTCCTAAAATTACCATTTTGAAAGAGATGCCAGGAATTTGAAAACACTAAGAGTTTTGCTTTTTTTCCCCACTATGTTATAATTCTAAAATGTATCATTCTTGCTCAGTAAACATACTTGTTAACTTAAAATTTATAATGAAAAAAGAAAGATTATACCTAAGGAAGACTACACCCATTTGGATACATAAGCAGCTGAATATATTTGTAATAGTGGTTAAAAACTCAGTCTGGCTGGATGTGGTGCCATATGCCTTTAGTCAAGGTTAGAGGCAGGCAGTTCACTATGAATTTGAGGTCTACAGAATTAGTTGCAGGTGAGCCTGACCTACATAGTGTGACCCAGTCTCTAAATAAGTAAGAAAATTAATAATTCAGGTCATTTCAAGCTCTTGGACCCTCTTCATCTGAAAGTCATAGAGCCTCCACACCTTTGTGTGTGTCCTGTGCATCTGGTGACAGTCATGGCAGTCTACAGTGAGACTGTGTAATTGGGAAGCAATGGTCCAGCACAAGCTGCAGCATTGCCTTAGAACATGTATCATTATGAAGAGGAAATCACATTTTTATTAAATTCCACTCTTCACTGGAAAAAACACAAATATGTTTATAATCATACTTGACATTATGAACCTGTTCATAAAGCTGGGTGCTATATTAATGGGTTTACTTTGATTTTCTTTCATCAGAAGTACTTAAGGAAGGAAGACATTGAGTTCATTAGAAAGTTTGCAGCTCACCATTTCAGTCAGGTAAGGAGTAGTGTTCTGTTCTGTATTCCACTATTAGTTTCGAGGAATCTAGTTTTGGTTTGGTTTTGGCTTTTTTAGGTTTACTTTTATGTTCTGTGTGTGAGTGTTTTGCCTGCATGTATGTATTATGTATATATGTATTATGAATGTATGTATCAAGTGCATGCCTGGTACCCATGGACCCAGAGAGGCATTGGATCCACTGGAACTGGAGTTATAGGTGGTTGTGAGCTGCCATGTAGGATGATGGGAACGGACCTTAACTGGTGAGTTCTTAGGTTCGAGAGTCAGTATTTCAGATCATATCTTTGCTATTCATCTATTTTTACTGAAATGCTTCAATTTAGACAGTTGAATTTACTTTCATACTGCAAGTTCAGCCTTACTGTTTTTACATGAACAAAAGAATTTTAATCCAGTTTTAAGAATTAAATAAATGTACACAGAGAAACCCCGTCTCGAAAAACAAACAAACAAAAAAAATTAAATAAATGAATAGTGCCTTGGTGGTCAAGGTTTGGCAGTGACATGACAAGGGTGAAAAGGCCTTACGGGTTCTTCATCCTGTGTCTGCTTTTACAACTATGAGTACACCTTTGACCAGCACATTTTTGTGTTCTGGTCTTAGAGGATGGTATCACTAAAATGAGGAACAGGACCTGGGAATTCTTATGTTCCTGAACATGTAAATTGCTTTGGCCATTTTCCCAGAATCATGGCGGCTGGGCATGATGGCACACTCTTGTCATCCCAGCACTTACATGGAGGTAGGAGGATCAGGAGTTCAAGGGCAGCTTGGATTACTGAGATTCTATCTCACAGAACAAAAACCAGAAAATGCTCATCACAGTATCATTTATAACAGGAATAGAATGAGAACAGGCAGGGATGCTTAAGTTTATGGTACAAAGAATATTTAAGTTCCTTTTGAATTTTGGTTTATTTGTTATTTTGCTTTTTTAAGGCACGGTCTCATGTAGCCAAGGCCTCCTTGAGCTCTTGACTGTCAAGCCTTTGTCTTGAACATTGGGGTTATAGGTATGCACCATAACATCCAGCTCTCAGATTCCTTTTTAAATGGACTACTAGCCTCACTTAACCTTATAGCTCAAGCTCAAAGAGATATAAAGATATTTCAATATGAAGGAAACTCAAGGACAAGATGCTAGATCAGGAAGGTTACAGGGAGACCCTGTCTCACCTTTTTTAATTTTTGTATTTTTTTGTTTTTGGGTTTTGTTTGTTTGGTTGGTTGGTTTTGTTTTGTTTTTTTGAGACAGGGTTTCTCTGTGTAACCCTGGCTGTCCTGGAACTCACTCTGTAGACCAGGCTGGCCTCGAATTCAGAAATTCACCTGCCTCTGCCTCCCAAGTGCTGGGATTAAAGGTGTGCGCCACCACTGCCCGGCCGCACCTTTTTAATTTTCTTTTTTTTTTTTTTAAAGATTTATTTATTATATATGAGTACACTGTAGCTGTCTTCAGACACACCAGAAGAGGGCATCAGATCTCATTACAGATGGTTGTGAGCCACCATGTGGTTGCTGGGATTTGAACTCAGGACCTCTGGAAGTGCAGTCAGTGCTCTTAACCACTGAGCCATCTCTCCAGCCCCTTTTTAATTTTTTAAATTGATTTTCAAGACAGGGTTTCCCTGTGTAGCCCTGGTTGTCTTGGAACTCCCTCTATAGACATAGACTAGGCTGGACTTGAATTCAGAGTTCTGCCTCCCAAGTGCTGAGATTAATTGCTGTGTGCCACCACCACCCAGCTCTGTCTCAACCTTTTAAAGAGAGACTGAAACTGACCAGGGCTGATTCTCAATGGGCAGTGCTTGCTGAGCAAGGACAAGGCTCCAGGTTTGATCATCAGTACAGGGTGGGAAGAAAAAGGGAAGGAATTTTCAAAATGTGTCAAAGCAAATTTTTAGAAAATAAAAGACTGAAAAATTATTCATAAAGTTATAGAAAGGGCCATCTTTTCTATTTTTCTCTATAGAAATATTCTTTCAGACTGGGCATAGTGGCACATATCTATATCCAGCTTTCAGAAAGCAAAGGCACAGTATTACATTTTTAAAAACATATTTACTTATTATTATTATTATTATTATTATTAGTGTGTCTGTGTGTGAGTGTGTGAGTGTGTGTGTGTGTGTGAGTGTGTGTGTGCACACGCGTGCGTGCAGCATGCATAATGAGGATACATGCAGAGGGAGGCCACAAACCTTTACCGTGGAGCAAGCTCAATGGCCTCATCTCAGTCATTCTTATTCCATTCACTTGCAATCTGCCAGAAGTAAAAACAAAGAAAAGGTCACAGACGTTTCTAGGCCTCTCTCTCCAGTAGGCAAGTGTTCAACCACTGATCGGTCATATTCTCTGCCCTCCTTTTATTTTTCATCATTTTAGACAGAGTCTCACGAAGTTGTATGGGTTGGCCTTGAACTCACTCTGTAGCTCAGGCAGGTCTCAGGAAAGTGCAAGCCTCCTGTCCTCCCATTGTAGTCTTTTGAGTAGCTGGGCTTAAAGACCTATACTCTAGGACTAACTTTAAAAATTTGTATTTTGTCTCACTTTGAAAGGACTGGTGATGAAAAAGAGATAGTGTCATTGAACTGCCTGCTTTTATGTCAATTTGACACAAGCTATAGTCATCTGAGAAATAGTAGCCTCATTTGAGGAAATGCCTCCTTGAGATCCAGCTTTAAGATATTTTCTCAGTTAATGATCACTGAGGGAAGGCCCAGCACATTGTGAATGGGGCTATTTCTGGTCTAGTAGTCTTTGTTTCTACAAGAAAGCAAGCTGAGCAAGCCATGAGGAGCAAGCCAATAAGCAATAAACCCCTCCATGGCTTCTAGAATAGGTCCTGCCTCCTTGAGTTCCTGTCCTGACTTCCTTCAATGATAACAGTAATATGGAGTGTTTGCCAAATTAAACCCTTTCCTCCCCAACTTGTGTTTTGGTCATGATATTTCATTGAAGCAATAGGAACCCTGACTAAGACAATCATGTAAGTTATCTTCTGCTTGGAACAAGAAATCTTTGTACTGAGTCAAAACAAATCCATCTCATTTTTGAAAAATATATCAGTAAGCCTTTTTCTTTATCCAGGAAGTCCTACCTATATTCCTGAATGCCAAGAAGAACTGGAGTTCACCATTTGCTAAATTCATAACGGAGGAGGAAAGACTGGAATTAACCAGACTGATGGAGATACAAGAAGAAGACATGGTGCTACTGACTGCTGGGGGACATGAGAAAGCAGTAAGGAAAATTGTCTAAGTGCGTGGCCTGTGCTGAGGCTGCCTCTTCCCCACGTTATATTTAAAATGGAATGTTAGCTTCATAAAGCAGGGCTGCTCTGCAAAAGTCATTATGTAAAGGTCTTTTAGTACTTTATTTTTTCTTTAATTTTTTTATTTTTTTGGTTTTTCAAGACAGGATTTCTCTGTGTAATCCTGGCTGTCCTGAAACTCACTCTGTAGAGCAGGCTGGCCTCGAACTCAGAAATCCTCCTGCCTCTGCCTCCCAAGTGCTGGGATTAAAGGTGTGTGTCACCACTGCCCAACAGTACTTTATAATGCACTATATTCTCACACACACAAAATGAAAATCTTAAAACTGGAGTCTTTTCATTAGTTACTAACTAATTGGCCTTATTCATATCAGAATTGACTCATTTGGAAATCAATACAACTATGAAAAAATATTTTGAAGGTTTACAAAAGAAAGAAATTTAGTAGTTACAAACTCTGTACCCAATGCATTCCTAAGACTATGGAGGGACAATTCAGAGCACTGGGCTGCTACCCCTCAACTGGTACAGTCAAGGCAGGGCTTTTTCAGTTACAGGTGCTAAGTGCAGCTATGCACTAACAATCACTTTTGTCAGGGAATAGACAGGAAAGTAGATGTAGTTTGAAAGGGCCTTGTGAAATCTACAAAACATTACAAGTGAAACATGAATATTAAAACTCATAGAATTGGGACTGGAGAGATGGCTCAGCAATGAAGAGCACTGACTGCTCTTCTAGAGATCCTGAGTTCAATTCCCAGCAACCACATGGTGGCTCACAACCATCTGTAATGGGTTCTGATGCCCTCTTCTGGTATGTCTGAAGACAGCGACAGTGTACTTACATATATAAAATAAATAAACCTTTAAAAAAAAAACTCATAGAACTGGGCATGCCCGTTCATACCTGTAATCCCAGCATTCAAGAGGCCTAGGAAGGAGGAAAGGCCACCTAGGTCACATAGCTGAGACTATGTCTCAAGAGAGAATCAGGGAGAGGAAGGAAAATAGATCAAGGAGGAAGGAGAAAGAAAAGTAAGGTGCAGAGGCTAAGTCTCCTTATAGTAGCATAGCTAGTAAGTGGAAAAATAAGATCTAAGCCATTACTATTTCCTGAATTCCCATTCTGTATGTGTGTGATGAGTGTGTGGTGTATGTGTGGGTGTGTACCAACATGAGAGCCTGTGTGAAGGCCAGAGGTTAATACTGAGTAGTCTTCCTCAATCTGTACCTTACTTTCTAAGGCATTGTCTCTTATTGAACAGGAGTTCTGATTAGTTAGACTAGTTACTCCAGGGATCCATTGTCTCTGCCCCACAAATGCTCCAGTCACAGACACATCTGCCTTTTACATGAGTGCTGGAAAGCCAAGCTTAGGTACCCATGTTTCCATTGACAAGCATTTTACCTCTCAGCCCTCAGAATTCATTCTGCCTCTGATAACAGCCAATATTTTCTGATTAAGTGCATGTCAGACATTCATCAGATCCTCACCTTCAGAAACAGGCACCCCCATACTGTGTTGGGTTCTATATCTTATGTACTTGGTCTCATTTAACTTTACAATTTTATTCTAGACATAACCATGTGCACTTGTGATCCCAGCTTCTCAGGAGGTTGAGGCAGGATTGAGTTCAGTAGTTCAGGACCAACCTGGGAAATGAAGCAATACCTCATCTCAATAAATAATGAACCAGGTAGTGATGGCGCATGCCTTTAATCCTAGTACTTGGGAGGCAGAGGCAGGAAGATCTCTGAGTTCAAGGCCAGTCTGGTCTACAGAGCAAGTTCTAGGACAGCCAAGGCTGCACAGAAAAACCTTGCCTTGGGAAAAAAATAAATAAATTAGTGAGTAAATAACCCTGTGTTGAAGTAGGTATTTTATCCCCATTTACTTATGATGGGATGTAGAGAAATTAGTAAGTCAACAAACAGGCTCCAAGCTTGGTCTGTAAGGCTCTGGAGCTGTTTTCCTGGTCACTGGGATATGAGGTGCTCATACAGGCAGCCCTGGCTGATGGTCATTTGTGGTTATCTATCTGGCAATCAGATCATCCTCATATCTTTGTCTCCTGAGAAAAAGTGTCTTATCTACTTATTGGCCAGTCTTAAGAATTTAGGTTGCGTCATCTGATGCCCACTCTGACAAGAAGCTAAGAGTTTGTATCTTTTGTTTGCAGTGCTCTCTGTTGGGAAAGTTACGGCTAGAGTGTGCAGACCTTTTGGAGATGAGAGGAATGGTGCTCCGAGACCCAGCAGTGTTCTCTTTCCTTTGGGTGGTTGACTTTCCACTCTTCCTTGCCAAGGAAGAGAGTCCCACAGAGCTGGAGTCAGCCCACCACCCATTTACTGCTCCTCATTCCAGTGACATTCACCTCCTCTATACTGAGCCGGAAAAGGTACTGACCCAGTCTTCCAAATAAAAAGGAAGTATCAAAATAGATGCAAAGAACTTTCAGACTTACTCAGGAGAACCACAGATAAAAATTGAGCCTACTGTTAATAAATTGTGTTTAAGGTACAATGTCTTTATTCTATAGAATTGAAAGCCAGGAATTTTCTGTAACATAAAAGTTCTGTGATTTTGTAGGTTCGTGGCCAACACTACGACTTGGTTTTAAATGGCAATGAGATAGGAGGCGGTTCTGTCCGAATTCATGACGCACAGCTACAGAGGTACATCCTGGAAACATTGCTAAAGGTATGGGATGCCTTCTAACTTTTCCTTTTTTATCCACATCTTTGTTTTATGAAACATTTATTTTAAATGGAGAATTTACTAGGTACAGAATGTCAGCTTCTCTTCATGTTTTATGTAGCACTGGGAAGAGTAAATGCTAAGAACAGTTGCTCATCAATGCTTACTGTGTCCCAGGGACTATATGCTACACAGGCAAATGTGGTGGCTCATGCATATAAATCCAAGTTAGAAAGTTGAGATAAGAGAATTGCCTTGAGTTCCAAGCCATCCTGGGGCTACATAGCAAGACCCTGACTCAAATACAAAAACAAAAAAAAAACCCACACCCACAGATACACTGGCATGTTATTTAACCTTCACAGTAATTTCTGTAAGTAGATACTCATTATTCTCATTTTAAAGATGAGAAACTGAGGCAGCAGGTATATGCCTAAGTCACAAAGCTCAGAGCCAGACATGGTGGCACAAGCCTGAAATCTCACCTTTCAAGAGGCTGAGGTAGAGTTGTGGATTTGAGTCAAGCTTGGCCTACCAAACCCCTGTCTCCTGTAGTGCAGGAACTGAAGGATGGCTCTTGAGACCAAACTCCTAAAATGTCATTTCCAGTGAGTGATAGTATTAAGAGGAAGAAATAGGCCGGCCTTTGTGTGTGTTTGGTTTTGTGTTATTGCTTTATGACTTAGGCTAGGCTGGTACTCATTATCCTCCTGCCTTCTCCAGAGTGCTGGAATACAGGGGAGTGGCTTGTCTATTCCACTGAACTGCAGCTCTCTGAAGGTTTTTTTGTTTTGTTTTTCTTTTTTTTAGAGCGTCCCCCCATGCATTATCACTGTTTGGGTCCTGTCATTTTTAACCTGAACTTCACTTTCTCCTTAGTACTTACTGTTACATTATGACAGAGGACTTTCAGTTTCTACTTAAACAAATAACATATGTTTTGCATTTCAGGAAGATGTGAAATTGCTTTCCCATCTGCTTCAGGCTTTAGACTACGGGGCACCCCCACATGGAGGAATTGCCTTAGGTAAACAGTCTGTGCACTAAATTCCATCCCATAGCACTGGGTCTCAAATTCAGATTCTCGGTTTAAGGGGAAGGGATTGGGAGGCAGAAGCAGGCAGATTTCTGTGCATTCAAGGCTAACTTGATCAATGTAGCAAATTCTAGGTCAGCCAAGACTACAGTAAGATCTACACCAGCCCCACCCTTAAAAACAAAACAACAACAACAACAAAAAAGTGCCTATTACTCCTGCAGAGAGCCTGGGTGGTGGTGATGGTGGTGCTGTTTTTTTTTTTTTTGGTTTTTCGAGACAGGGTTTCTCTGTGTAGTTCTGGCTGTCCTGGAACTCACTCTGTAGACCAGGCTGGCCTCGAACTCAGAAATCCGCCTGCCTCTGCCTCTGCCTCCGAAGTGCTGGGATTAAAGGCGTGCGCCACCACCGCCCAGCAGATGCTGATTTTTAAATTGGAGAAAAAAAAATTAGGGGCCAAAGATAATGGCTCAGCAGTTAAGAGCACTGGCTGGTTTCCAGAAAACCCGGGTTCAATTCCCAATACACACATGGCAGTTTATAACTGTCAATAACTCCAGTTCCACAGTATTTGACACCCTCACACAGATACATAATCAGGCAAAAACTAATGTACATAAATATTAATTAAATTGTTTTTTAAATATTTTCAAAAAAAATATCATACAATTTATTCTGATCAGCTTTTCCTCCTCCAACTTCTGCCAGATCCTTCCCACCTCCCCACCTACCTACCCACTTCCACACCTTCCCTCCCTTCCTCCCTTCCACCCTTCCTTCCTTCCTTCCTTCCTTCCCTTCTTCCTTTCTCATCTTAGAAGGAAAAACAAAAAGAAAAATCTGTATACACACGCACACACACACACACACACCATAAAAACACAAACTCAGAAACCATAATATACAAGCAAAAGACCAGCAAGACAAAGAATGCCCAAACAAAGCAAAAGTCTACAAGATGACTACTGGGTTCTTTTGTGTTTGCCATCTGCTGCAGAGTGTGGAGCCTACCATTAAGTGTTGTTAATATACCCAGAGACTCAATTAGAGAAAGCTAATTTTTTCCTCTGCAAGCGAGTGTCAGTTTGAGGTGGGAGCTCACGTCCATTTACCCATTGGGACCCCCATCAGACCTGATTCCGTGTGTGCATGCTACCAGTCATTTGTTATGTGCATCAGATATGACCTGAACTTAAATTCAGACACCTGTAACAGGCAACTCACAGTTGTAATTCCAGTCCTAGGGGACCTTGTGTGGGAACCTGCACAGACACACACAATAAAAATAGTAGAAATATCTGAAAGAGGTCCAGACCAGCCTAGATTACATGAAATCCTATCTCAAAAACAAAACAGAAAAACAACGAACCAAAAAATTAATGTAAGTTCTCTACAGGCCTGAGGATGTAGCTCAGTGGTAGAACGCTTGTCTAGAATGCATGAAGCAGGGCCAAAAAAAAAACCAACAACAACAAAAAAAAAAACTCTACATCTTTTAAAGAAAGATCAAGGCCAGTAGTGGTGCATGTCTTTAACCCCAGCCTTCAGGCATATCTCTCAAAGTTCTAAGCCAGCCAGAGCTACATAGTCTCAAAAAAAAATAAAAAAATAAATAAAAAAATAAAAAGCACATCAGTAATGATGGTGGTGGTGGTAGTGGTACAGGCCTTTAGTCCCAGTACTCAGGAGGCAGAGGCAAGCGGATCTCTGAGTTCAAGGCCAACCTGGTCTACAGAATGAGTTCCAGGACACCCAGGACTACACAGAGAAACCCTGTCTTGACGACTGTCCCCCTCTTCCCCCCGAGGGGGAGGGGAGAATTATTTTCGGAGCTAAGTAGCTATACATTTCTCATCATGTTCACTTTGTATTTTACATCACAGGGTTAGACAGACTGGTATGTCTTGTCACGGGAGCACCCAGCATCAGAGATGTCATAGCCTTCCCTAAATCCTACCGAGGACATGACCTTATGAGCAATGCTCCAGACTCTGTGTCTGCAGAAGAGCTGAAGCCATACCATATCCACGTCTTATGGCCAACAGACTCAGAAGAGGAGAGGGCATCTGCTACACCTTCCAAACACTTGAGCTCTTAACTTTTGCCTTGTTTGCTTCCCCAAACCTAAAATAAGATCCAGACCTGCCACAGACTTTAGAATAAGTTTCTGTGTAGAAGGAATCATTACCTAGTAAGAAACAGAAGCTACACAGTTCTGATTTGGTCATATGTACCATTAGAACTTTCTGTGGTTGGGAGTTCTATGGAAGTTTTTTAATTAGACAATTGTTAAAATGAAACAAAAAATCTCTTTATTGGAGTTTTTAGATCTTCCTGTTTTCTAAGCATGTTTCTATACCCAGATAAGTTATTTAGGACGAGGATATGAAATGCAAGAAAATGACCGCCTCTGTAGAGCAGCCAGTTAATACAGCAAGGTTTCAGTTCATCTAGCCTCATTAGAACCAAATAAAGAATGTTCTAAGTAGTATAGTAGAATAAAAAGAAAAAAGTACAAGTAACAGAATCCTATTGTGTTGCACCTTGAGCAAGTTACAAATGTCTCTTAGCTACTCATATAATGTGAATGACACTTGTCCAGGACTCTTGTTGCCAGAATCATGAGGTAACATTTGTGGGAGATATGTGATTTGAAATACTGTAATGCAGGGCTGAAAATACAGCTGTCTTAGTCACTGTTCTATTGCTGTGAGGAAACATCACAACCAAAGCAACTCTTATAAAGAAAGCATTTAATTGGTGCTGGATTATAGTTTCAGATATGGCTTAAGTTATCAGCATGGTGGCAAACACATGGTAAAGAAGTAGCTGAAAATTCTATGTCCTGACCTGCAGGCAGCAGGAAGAAAAACTGGGCCTGGCACAAGCTTATTTGCTTCCTTACTTATGGTTTTCAAGACAAGGTTTCCTTGGCATGGGCTTGTTTATTTATGGCTTTTCAAATCAAGGTTTCTCTGGGTAGCCCTGAATGTCCTAGAACTCTCTCCTATAGCCCAAGCTGGCCTCAGACTTTTAGAGATCTGCCTGCTTCTGCCTCCCAAGTGCTGGGATTAAGGGGCTCTTGAAACTTTACTGCCCACCCCCAGTGACAAACTTAATCTGAATCCTTTAAAAAAAAAAATGCTACTCTCTAGTAACTAATTTGAATGTCTGAGTGTATCAGTATCCCCTCTCATCTATTCCCTTCTCTGAAAGGGAGAGCACTACCCTAAGTATCCTCAGGGCCCCTACACCCCCACCACCACACACACACACACACACACACACACACACACACACACACACACACTGCAGGACTAGGTGTCTTGTCTGGCCTCTCACTAAGGCCAAGCAAGGCAGCTATGGGGCCATTCTTAATCAAATTAGCACAGCAGCTCAGTGGTAGAAGAACACTTGTATGGAAATGTACACAGCTCAGTAGTTCAATCACCAGCATCATACCCATACGCAACAAAATCTAAAGGCACAGTGCTCAGGGTGTTGAAATGGAAGGACTAAAGGAGGCAGATGAGTCCCTACTTGGAAGATATCTCTATCCCTTTTGGACTCTATAAAAATAATAGGCTACCCATCCTAGAGGAACCACTGCACTCAGAGCAGTGGGTTAAGAACCTTCCCCCAAAACCCTACATCCTAGAGCTGCAGCTGGGAGCCTAGGGCACTCAGGACCCATCACCCACCCAAACCCTGCCCTCCAGAATACCACTCCCCTTCTGCCCATCACTTGGTTCTTTTTGCTGGGGCAGACTCCTAGCTGGTCACTGATAATTGGATATTAGCCCAGAAACTTGCAATACCCAAGATTCAACTACAGACCACATGAAGCTCATGAAGGAAGTGTGGATGCTTCAGTCCTTCTTAGTAACAAAATACTCAAGGGAGCAAATATGAAGACAAAAGCTGGGAACAGCAACTGAAGGGGGGGGGTATCCATCCCATGTGCAGACCAAAAGTAGCTGATAAGGATGCCAGAAGTACATGCTGACAGGAGCTTGATATAGCTGTCGACTGCCAGAGCCTGACAAATACAGGATATTCACAGCCAAGGGTTGAACTGATCATGGGGTTCCCAATGGAGGAGTTAGACTGAAAGAGCTGAAGGGGTTTGCAGCCCCGTGGGGAGAGCAAATACGAACCAACCAGAGCTCCCAAGGTCTAAACCACCAGCCTGGGAGCACATAGGTAGGGCCCCATGGCCCTGGCTGTATATGTAGGGGGTGGCCTTATTGGGCATAGGTCCTTGGTTCTGTGAAGGCTGGATACCCCAGTGTTGGGGAATTCGAGGGCAGAGAGGCAGGAGTGGGTGGGGGCACATCCTCAGGAGGGGAAATGGGTTCAGGGGGTTTTGGGGGGGTGTGACATCTGAAATGAAAATATCCAATAAATTGTTAAGAAAAACTAGGCAGGCAGTGGTGGTGCACACCACTTAGTTTTCAGAGGCTGGTAGATCTGAGCTCAAGTCCAGGATGGTCTACAGATCTGAGCTTCACAAGGGCCAGGGCAGTACAGTAAAACCCTGCCTTAGCTATTGTGTTCTGGAATTATATGGACCAATTAACTCATAGCTGGCCTTGGTAAGCACGTACTTTTGATCCTAGCTAGCTAGCACTTGGAGGCAAAGGTGGGCTAATCTCTGAATCTTGTATCAGTTGACATGTTCTACATGGAAATCTTAATACCAAGGCAACCGTGTTTCCTTCCAAAAAAGACCAGGCAGCCAAGATGACTAGACCTATTTGTAACAGCCAGATTCTGTATCTGACCTCTATACAAATGGAAAACTTTTTTAAAGGATGGGCTGGCTGTGAAACGATTACCACGCGAAACATGGTTCATCAGATCCTCAGACCCAGGTGTAGGCATTCCATGGCTAATCTGACCAGAGAAATAAGGATAACTGCAGATCTTAAGCTTTGAAAGACTGTCCTCATTGCCAGGTACTGAGACTTACACCTTTCAATTCCATCCCAGTGGCAAAATACCTACAAATTTTGTCTGGAAGCAATGCCCACAACCAGGATCCCTGATCAAGACCACATCTACAAGACTGTTTAACAGCATAGCCTCAACTCATTTCCCTCTGTGGCCATCACACCCAGCATTGTTTCTCAGGTACCCAGATGGTCTACTGCTTAAAAATTAGGGGATTTAGTTTTCAGTAGTCTCGAGAATGAACCCAATAGACCATAGAATGAGCAACATCCTTAAGATTTAGTATTTGTGTATGCTGTTTAGTGTGCCTTCTAATTAAAATACTTTGGAAGTTAGGCATGGTGGCATATAACTGCAAAATGGAAGGCCTAGCTGGGCATGGGGTACAATGCTCCCAGTGTAACAGGACTGCAAAGTTAAACCCAGGCTTTTATCTTATAGGTTTATCTCAAAATTTACACCTGTACCCCTACATGCCCTCTCCAGTCCTTTTAAATAAAGGGCTAGTATACCCACTACTTCAGACTTCATAACTGATTAAGGCATTCAGGCTGTAAAACCCAGCTTTAGTGTTCCTGTTAATTTAAATAAATGTCAAACAGGAACATGGCTTTGTGCTTGTTAAGTCATACCCAGTACCATCATTTAAAGCCAGTGTCTCTGATGTGAACTCCCCACAATATGCTCATCAGCACAACAAAATGCACACTTCACACTTCTCCAGATGTTAGTGTACTTTAATGGCAAAATTCTTAGCACAATGTGTCTGACACATCTTCCTTAGCCTTCATCCAGAGACCTGCAATGCAACAGATAGTTGTCAGAAACATTTCTACAATTTTAACTTAAATGATAACTTAAAAACACAGAACATCAGATCTTTTACTGTCATCAAATAATCAGTGAGAGAGTTCAAGCTGGGGTGAGATCATCATGTATTCTGGAGTAGGTTCATGGTTGAGCATTTTCAGTTCTCACCTCTGAAACATAAAGGTGCACTCACTGCATATGTCCACTTGTCAGTTGTCACAGGAGCCCTAAGAAAGCAAACGCTTACTCATCTGGCTTAGAATAGTTAGAGGTTATCTGTTACTATAGTAACCTCAGAAATAAAATGGAACGGTTTTAAAGGTGATATCACTTTGTATCATTTGGCAGAATCATCACATCACTGGTTACAGGCCACATTACAATGTATAAAAAAAAAACAAGATGACTTACCTTGAAATTCAGAAGGAAGGATCTGTTTGAAAATTAAAAAATTGATTAGTGCAGTCATTTATCTTCTGACATTTTGCACTATTTTTTGGGTCTTCAGTCTCCATGGGTTCATCTCAATTCTCTTGCCAAGAAGCCTGAGACTATATGGTTGCAATCACCATACCATATGAAACTGTTATTTCCCACAATAAAATTGTCCCACTGGGTTAAGTCAGTGGTACAGAACATGAAACCTTAGCATTAGGCTTTGGCCTCAATCACTAGGACTCCATCTTGTGTCCTCTACTACTAGAGAACTCATGAAAACTTGTTTAAAAGGATAATTTATTAAAGCCAGATACATCAGATAGGAGCGAAAGACATGATTGTTCACCAGAGTTAAGTCTGCTGAACTATGTTATCATCACAGTATCGGCTTGTGTGAGAATTGTTGAAAGTACCTTTAATACACTTACCATTGTGTTAAGCTTGCACAAGTGCATTCGGTTAACGGGACCCATGTGTGATGCCTGCAGAGATTACACTCCATTTAGAAAATAGATACATGAAATATAATGACAGATGTTCTTAAATACTGTTTCAGCTTAACAATGATTCTTCAGTCTTATTCAGAGAGATTCCCATCTGTTTAACTTTATTGGTCATCACTAACAGTACCTTATTCATATAGTAGTTACCAAGTTTACAATGCTTGCTTACCTTTATTCAAATCATTTGTACCTGAAAAAAATTTAAGGCACCATTTAGTACTGACGATAGCACATGCATGTTCAAGTTATGCAGGAAATACTGCAAAATGACTCTACTGGATAGAAAAAATCTTGAACTCAAGGTCCCCAATGGCTTCTTACCCAAGCAAGCCATCCAAATGAAAACATGCAACCACAGTAGCTAGAATTAAAAGAAAATACCTCTTACAAATATGCTATAGACATCATTCAACTATTCTTAGTTCCCTGCCACAGGGTTCTTCAGTGTTAAAAATTGTCTACAAGTTACTTTCAGCTCAGACATTTGATCAACATCATTACAAAAACCCTGAGTGTTGTTCAAAATATACTATCTAAACTAAACATCCACAAAGACAATGCATGCTGCAAGTCCCTTTGTACTGACCATCACATGTACCATACTTACTCTTAAACTGTCCAGCCTCAAACTCCACCTAAGAAAAATGGAGACTTTTAATGCACTTGAAAAGATTGAGTTTGGCCCACAAAACATGCCAAGCAAGCCCAACATCAGATAGAGCTAATAATTAAGATCTTCACATTAGTCAGCTTTTGCTTGTCATCATGCAGGCTATGTTCAGAAAGAAGTGACCAGGACAGCATGTGGCTAGAGTACTTTGCAAAAAAAAAATGCAACAATGCCAAGCCATTTGTTTGGCCTGTTTAGCTTCTAAAATTTAGTTTCACTTACCATTTTATTTTCTGGTTTTCCGTTCTAGCACCTACAATAGCAAACAAATAGTTAAAAGGTGCCCGCCCTGTTCTGTTCACTTGATGTTGGAACAGGGTCCCCCAAATCAGGCCTAAGTATCATAATTATGGCACCTAGTCAGACAGCTAGAAACTGCAATGCCCTGTTTTGGCTTCAGATCTCCCACCCATTCTGATCTAATTGCCTTCATGAAACTACATTCAATTGAGGGTGGTCATTTGCCACTGGGTACTACTTGTAAAGGGGTCATGTGCATACAAAAAAATTGCTTACATGCTCTTCGGTTATCCAGCTTCTTCATGAATCCTATTGGAAAAAGCCTTCATGTAAATACTGTTAGGTATGTAAGTAGCCCGTAAACCATTACTCTGTGTGCCTCAGTTATAATTATGGTGGTTTATAGCTATCGTCATCCAAACTGTCAAGAGTAGCAAATATGATGTCATCATTGTGGCACTGCCCTTTCAACTTCTGACTAGGAAAATTTCAGTACTCACTTTAGTCTTCATCCGTCTTCTCCACAGAACTAGAAATAAAAGATGTGAATAAAAGTCAGTCCCCTTCCTCTCTGAATTCACCCTTTGCAGTACCCAGTTAAAGCCTCAGAACGGTGTTTTTTCAGAAATCCCTTCTGTCCACTACTCTCATACCATCATGGGCTTTCTTATGTTCATTATGTTTCTGAGATACCCCACTGACATACCTGCCTGTGAGAGTCCACCAGATGCCCCATCACGTTAGTCCACAGCGCCATTCCTAAGAAAGAGTTAATATTTTTAATCTCACAAAAACTGATCAATCTTAACAAGAGAACTTAGTTCACATAGGCACTGTGAGATGCACATATCCAACAATACACTTAAGTCCTGAGACCAGGTACTACACAAAGGGAATCTTCCCTTTGTTACTAAGGTCTACTTAGTGCCAGTTTCTAGCCTTCAACCGCATGGTGAGCTCTAATTACACACCGACATGGCTCTGCATTCCGCCATGCCATACGGTATACCGAAAAATAGCAAGTAAGTGCAAAAGGCCGCTCTAGGTGACTCAGCATGCTCTGCCATCAGAATTGTTGGTATTCATCAACAAGGTCAGTTGTCCCTACCAACATAGCCTTCATCATAGCAAGAATACGCACGCTGAGTGGTCTTTGTAGGGTTCCCATATTAAAATCCAATACTACTCTATGTCACAAATACCCGCAGTGCCCATTTCCCAAGTTTACAGCTTGTGATTTACACTAAGCACACCTGCTGGCCCGAGAATTCCACCAGCTTCCCGTGCTTCAGCCTACAAGGCCCGAAACGATAACATACTCAAGAACACGCATACCTGACCAATCTCGCCGCCGAGCTCCGAAAGACCGATATGGCGGCTGAGGCGAGTATATAAAGTCTTCCTGACGTCAAGACGCAGGGCAGCCCCCCTACGTCCATTGAAACCCCGCCCCTCACACGCCCTCAGACTCCTCCTCAAGCCCCACCTCCTTCACACCCTCAAATTTTTCCTCTGGCCACGCCCCAGAGAGCCTGGAGGGCGGAGCTGCCGCGGGCACGTTAGGCCCGCCCTCTGCCCCCCTGAGGAGTAAGGGCTGAGGGGAGGGGGCTCCTGCAAGGACAGCGCTGGGGGAGGGGCGGTGTGAGGGTGACTGATTTCCTTCCGGCACGTCGCCCGCTCCGGAGGAGGGGGCGGGGGGTTTCACTTCCGGGACGGTGTTCCGGCCCATTCCGGCCCATTTCCACCCCCGGAGGTAGGTGCTGCTCCTTGACTGGGCTCGGGCCCCGCACCCCCGCCCCATTAGCCCATACCAAACGCTCCTTGGCCGCGTCCGGGTTGCAGCCTGCTCCTGGGCGGCTCAGTCGCCGCTCCACCTCCCCTCCAAGCACTCGGCGACCTTCCACCCCTTTGGCTCGGGGCTGCAGAGCTCGCGGGCCCGCCCCCTTCGCGAGCCCCTCCCTCAGGACCCCGCGTGGCGGGGACACACCCAGACACACCCCCACCCCGGCAGCCACCGCCGCCCTCTACCGAGTCCCGGGGCGCCGCCCCCTTCCCCCTCCCGCACCTCACCTGTGCGCCCGCAACTCCCTTGCCGCGGGGTTCTCCTCCTCTCTAGCTTCCCGGAATCTGTGCCACCTCCTTGCATAGCCAGCTCCCCCTTTCCCATGCTTCCTGACACTAATGGAGGCCCCCCCAGTACCTGACTGGCCAACCCCAAGCGTTCCCGATTCTCCCTTTTACAGCTCTCGCCCCTTCAGTGCCGACGCTAAAGAAAGACTTTACTCCAGGGGCTTCCTCCTCACTGGGGAATTGCTGGAAAGAGCAAACAAAAAGGCGCTGGTGTAGGCTCCAAAATAAACATCTGAATTCGTGATGGCATCGACAGAGGCTCTTAATGGATTAAAAGTTTCAAAACAAACAATAACGCTTTGGAAAAAGGTCAGATTGGTTAAAGTTGCTTCTTGAAAGCCGTGTTTGCGTTTACTCAATAAGTGTGTTGTAAATTCGAGGTGACAATGTGAGCTTGTCAGGACAACTTCCTGGTGTGCTGTGTAGTCTTATAAATTTAGAGATGAATTGGATGCATGGTGAGCCTAAATCCGTACGTCATTGTGTATTCCAACTATCCTCAACTAATTAAGACTATTTGATGCAGTTACAGTCTTTTAGTGTGAAGTTTCAGGCTTTATTTTTGTCAGCTGTGGGGGACCAACTTTCTCAATCAAAGTAGCATCACCACTTTGGAATATCCAAGTTTGAGTTTGTTGGGGAGAAAAAGATTTACTTAGTTTTTGGTAACTTTGGAAACTAGGCCCCAAGTTCTCTGCATGTTAGTTGAATGCTGACAGGGCTTTGGAATGTTTCCTAACCTACAATTCACCTCAGAGCCCCTGTATTCAAAAAGCGGGAGCTCAAACTAGTAAGCTTAAAAGTATGGGCCTGGTCTGGCATAGTGGTCAAACACCTCTAACACCAGCATTCTTTAATCTTAGCAGAGGCAATCAAATCTCTTTGAGTTAGATACCAGATGGTCTACATAGTGAGTTCCAGGAATAGCCTGGGCTACGTAGACCCTGTCTCAAACAAACAAATACCCGGGGTGGGGGTTTAATTCTAGCATTTCTGGAGGCAGAGACAGGTAGATCTCTGAGTTCCAGGCTAGTCTGGTCTACAGAGCAAGTTATAGGGCATCCAGAACTATACAGAGAGCCACTGTCTCAGGGGGAAAGGTGATAATAGTGGCCATTCATGTAGGATGTTAGTCACTTTATAAACACCTTGTGCCGCATGTAAATTATAGTCAACCTGTATGTGTTTGATGCCCCCTCTTAATGTATTCCTATCTTTATGCTATATAGCTTATTAATAAAGTATGGGCATAGCTTGAATTTTTCCCAGTGTAGCAATCACTTTTTTGTGTGTTAATTACATTTTACTGTGAAATCTAAAACACCTGTGCCAGGCTTAGCAGCTTGCGGTAATCCTAGTACTTAGGAGGTAGGATCGGGAGTTTGAGGCCAGCCTTAGAGTAAGACCTTGTAACTAACAACCCACCAGCTGGCAATTCTGTTTCTACATCCAAACATAAAGGAAGATATCTCTTTGTATATGAAGATTTTTTTTTTCTTCCTGAGACAAGATTTCACTCATGTAGCCCATACTCATGATTCTCCTGCCTCGGTGTCCCAAGCGCTAAAATTACATACGTGTACCTGGCACTAGTAGAAAGGTTTTAAAGTTTTAGGGATGTTTGAACTAGAAAGCACAAAGGGAGTCAAACTAGTACTAAGACTGTGGTTTGCTCTTTCAGCAGGGTTGAATGTCTGCCTGTACTTTCAGGCATGACCATGGAGAAAAGTGGGAACATACAATTGGAGATCCCTGACTTCAGCAACTCTGTTCTGAGCCATCTCAACCAGCTACGAATGCAAGGCCGTCTCTGTGATATTGTGGTCAATGTGCAAGGACAAGCTTTTCGGGCTCACAAAGTAGTGCTGGCCGCCAGCTCCCCTTATTTCCGGGATCACATGTCCTTGAATGAAATGAGTTCTGTGTCCATTTCTGTCATCAAGAACCCTACTGTTTTTGAACAACTTCTTTCTTTCTGTTACACAGGGCGGATATGCCTGCAACTAGCAGACATCATCAGCTACCTAACAGCTGCTAGTTTTCTGCAGATGCAGCATATTATAGACAAATGTACACAGATCTTAGAGGGCATTCACTTCAAAATTAATGTGGCTGAGGTTGAAGCAGAATTAAGTCAAACAAGGACAAAGCATCAAGAGAGACCTCCAGAGTCTCACAGGGCTACACCAAATCTAAACCGCTCACTTAGTCCACGGCATAATGCCTCAAAGGGAAACTGGAGAGGACAGGTCAGTGCTGTGCTGGATATCAGAGAGCTCAGTCCCCCTGAGGAGTCCACCAGTCCTCAGATAATTGAACAGAGTTCTGATGCAGAGGGCAGGGAACCCATTCTTCGAATCAACAGAGCAGGACAGTGGTATGTGGAAACAGGAATAGCAGACCAGGGACCCCGGAGTGGAGACGAAGTTAGGGTTCTTGGAGCAGTGCACATCAAAACCGAAAACCTGGAAGAGTGGCTTGGGCCAGAGAATCAGCCTTCTGGAGAAGATGGAAGTAGTGCCGAGGAAGTCACAGCCATGGTGATTGACACCACAGGCCACGGTTCCATAGGACAGGAAAGTTACACTTTAGGGTCTTCAGGAGCCAAGGTCGCTCGGCCAACCAGCAGTGAGGTTGACAGGTAAGTTTTTTGTCTTTTTTTAATTATTATTAATCATTCCATTTGTTTACATCTAAAATGATATCCCACTTCCTGGTTAACCCCTCTACCAACCCCCCCATCCCATGATATCCCACTTCCTGGTTACCCCTCCTCCAACCCCTCCCATCCCACATCTTTGTTTCCCTATTTAAAGCTATTGTACAGACATCATTAAATGAGCCCTGTGTGTTACAGAGGGCATCTTTCTTACCTGATAATCTTATTCAACTTCCTTTTGGAGATTGGAAGTATGTCAATAGACTTGCATTATTTTCAATGCAGGAGGCTCCTGGATCTGAAATATTGACGATGTTATGAGAACTATGGTAAAATTAGCCACTTCAGTGAATCAGAATAGCGTCGCCAGCCACTCTAGGATCAGTAATTGCCAGGGCTCTCTGCATTCTAGGCAGGGAGCTGACTGTCAGGGGTCTGGTAACATTGCTGTTTCTCACACAGGTAGGTCATCTTACAGAGTTTGACTTTCTTTACTGCACTGTGTATTTCCCTTTGCCATTACCTACCAAAGTAGAGAAAGTTTAGTACCATCAATAATTGTTCTTTTTCAAATTAGAGTAATTTTCTAGAGAAAAGCTTTTTGAATGTTTTTCAAGTGTCACCTAGTGATGTTTCCTTTGAAGCTGCTACTACCCCAGGCCTGAGAGTGTCCTCACCAGTACTGCAATGACCTATGGCCTTCACTGTTTCTTCCTAATATACTGAGTCTGGTAGAAGAGTTCCTTTTGATGGAAATAGCACTGGCTTTCATCTAGTCAACTGAAAGAAAAAAATGTTACTAGTTTAGATTGGTAATATTTTATATTCTTTCTTATTAATTTATTGAAAGAAGATTTCTGTAGCTCAGGCTGTTCTGGAACTCAAGGCAGTCCTCCTGCCTTGACCTCCTGAATGCTGGGATTACTGGCATAAGTCACGATATTTGTACTTTTTTGTTGTTTTGTTTTTGAGGGGGTTGTTTTTGTTATTCAAGACAAGGTTTCTTTGTGTGGCGGCGGCCTGTCCTAGAACAAGCTGGCCTGAAACTCAACTCACAGAGATCTAATTGCCTCTGCCTCCTGAGTGCTAGGACTAAATGGGGGGCTACCACTGCCCAACTCATGTTCTTTTTTTTTTTTGGAGACAGGTAATTCAAGATGGCCTATAGCTTACTCTGTAGCCTAGACTAACCTCAAACTCAAGCATTCTTCCTGCCTCAAGCTACCAAGCACTAAGACTGTAGGCTAGCTTGTTCTTTTCCATGTTTAAAATAAATCAGAAATGGGTAAAAGCACTAAAGTCAAGCCTGACTGACTGGGTTCACCTACTGGCACACTCATGGTAGAAGGAGAGAATGAACTCTAGTAAATTATCATGTGACCTCTACACACGTTTCTCATAAATAAATAAGTGAAATTGATCTTGGGAGTAATTAAAACCAACTAACTTGTTCTTTAGTTTACAGCTGATAATGTAGACATTTATGATTTTTTAGCCACTTAAGTGGTCTTCGTTTGAATATTTTCCATCATGTGACCTTGATAAACTAAATATTCTTTAGCACA